GCGTATTGCGCAGACAGGGTGGGGTGGGGGTGGGATGTGGGCACAGCTCGCTCCGGGTGGAAGGGGCAGGCAGCAGCAGGGCATAGCCCCTGCTCCCAGTGCTGCCACACCCGCATCCCATGCCCCCCCTTGCATCCCGTGCCAGCTGGCAAGCAGCGACAGTGCCTGCCCCCTTGCATGCCAGCTGGCAAGCAGCAGCAGGGCAGAGCCCCCGCTCCCAGCCCTGATGCGGGCATAGCAGCACTGGGAGCGGGGGCTATGCCCCGCTGCCATTTGCCCCCTTCTGTCTGGAGCTAGCCGCGCCTGCATTGCCCCCCCTGCCCCGGCTGGGAAAATGGCAGCAGGGCATAGCCCCTGCTCCAAGCGCTTCGTTGCCTGGCGAGGGCGAGTTGTCTCTGTGCCCTCCAGGGGGCTGTGGCTGAGCCCGCCCAGCCTCCTTGGCATGTTCAGGGTGAGCCAGGGGGCAAGTGCCACTGTGGTGAAGGCGGCCCCAGTCCCGACCCAGGCTGGCCCCTCCACCTGGCAGGTGTTACACTGCCGGGGCTGTGGTCCTCCAGCGTTGTGGGACAGGCCTGGGCTGAAGCTGGCTTGGGGGGAGGTGGGGCATGGGCTCTGTGCTGCCCTTGGCTGACCGCCCACCTCTCTGCCAGCCCCGATGTCCTGTCCCATCCTGTTTCAGCGGTACTGGTGCTGGTGCTGGTGGCTGTCCGCAGACGGCAGAGAACAGAAATGGGAGTGGGGCTGCCCGTGGGGCCTCCTGGCAACAGACAGCCCTGGTAAGCTGCCACCACCTGCACCTGCATGGCCTGGCTGAGGGGAGGAGCACCGCGCTGCCTGCCCCGGATGCCTGCTGCCAGGATGCCTGCCTGGGCTGTGCTGCCCCTGGTGCCCAGGGGGCCCCTGATTGGCAGGGGTCCCTGGGCCCAGGCCCCACGGGCTCTTGCGTTAATTCGCCCCTGTGTGTGGCGCCTGGTTTGACTTGACTCGGAGCCATTCTTTTCAGTCATCCATTATCTACCACCTTCCAGCAACCCGCTACCAACCATTCACTGGTTTCATCACAAAGGAGCCCATTGCAGGGTTTTCCAGTGGCTGCCTAGGTCTGGCATATTGTGGGATGGAGTCTAGAAGGGCCTGGATTGTGTCAATTCAGGGGCTTAAAAATCATGACAGCAGATGACACTGCTGGCTGTCACGTTTGATGATCTTCTGTCTAATCAGAGCTCCTGATGGCTGCAGCTCAGGTGTAGCATGTGCTCAGGGGATGGCTCTCACGGTTAGTTTGACAGATCAGTGCTCTTATATTGCTTTAAAGGCAAAGGAGCCCTCAGAAGGGAATTAATGGGCTCACTGCCAGCCAGCTCCTTGTTATCCACAGATACAGTCCTGGTCACCAGGGGAGCATTTAATGAGAAAACAGGGCAACTGCTTTACAAAAAAAAATAAAATATATGTGCAGCCACTCACCTGGCTCTGGGCTTCCCAGTAAACCCTGAATGCAGTGTCAGCTTTTCACTGGTTGTAAATGGATATAGCACTATTGAAATCGATGTTGCTCTGCCTGTCTACCCTGGTTGGGGATCTGGCTCAAAAAGACTGTGGTTTGAAAGAGTCCCTGAACAAAGTAGGGGAGGGGACGATTCATAGGCAATCAGGCCAAGCTATAGGTCAAAGCTTTGTTGGTTTCTTTGGGTTGGGTTGAAACCTGGTTGAATGTGTTGGGGGTTCAGGTGATTCATCGATTCATAGATGCTGGGGTCGGAAGGACCCTCAACAGATCATCGAGTCTGATGATTGTACACTGAGTTTTCCATTAGACTTTGAGGAAGGGAGACTGAGTAGGACTGGTTGAGGACTGCGGGTGGGGGAGGTATTTCATTACCATTCCCTCCTTCACCCACATTTCTCTGATGAGATCCAGGACTGTGAATGTGCTGGTCAGCTCTTGCGCTGATGTGGATCGGGTGGGGGAGAAAGGGTGGAAGGAATGTGATTTGTGTTCACATGATTCCCCCAAAGTGACAACTGCTGCATCTGGGGCAGCTCTGCCCAGCAGGTCCATTGGTGCTGGATTGCTCATCACCTGGGATAAGCCCTGGGTTGTGGGTAAGACTTCCAGGGCCTTGAGAGACAGTGCAGGCAGGTGGCTGTGGCAGGGAGAATGGCTTCTGTCTTAGTCCTACCTCTGCCACTGACCTACTGTGTCACCTTAGGCAAGTCCCTGTCCAGCTCTGGGCCTCAGTCTCCCTCCCCTGCCCTTTGGGGGCTCTCTGGGGGCAGGAGCTGCTGTTCACCTGTGTGAGTGTATCGTGCCCTGCACCATGGGTTTAAGCTGCTAGGGCTACTTTAAAAATAATGAAATGGATTGAATAATTGATCTGATCCCCACATCAACTCCTTCCTCCATTCCCAGGTCCAGGGACTTTGTAGAGCTGAGGCAGGTGGGGCTCTTTCTTCTCTACCATCTTTGGACTAAACCCCCTCAGGAGTTACACCAAGGAGGGACCTGAGCCAACAACTCCCCCATGCTGAAAGCAGAGGGAGCAACTCACCCTGGGCTGTTATCTAGTTCAGCAAGGCAGCGAGGTCAGGAGGAGAAGGGAAGAGGAGGCAGGGGTCTGGCTGAGAAAGGAGCCAGGGGAAATGGAGGCCTCAGCTGCCAGCTTTGCAGAGGGGCAGGCACTGGAGTGAGGCCACCCCAGCTTCCCTCTAGGTCTAGCATTGCAATGACACAAGACAGCCAGCACTGCCAACATGCACCCCCCGCCCTGCAACTGGGCGAAATCTAGAGGCTTGGGGCCGGTGATCAGATCTGGGGATAGGATCTGGGGGTCTCTAGAGCTGACAAGATCATTATGACTGTGCAAGCCAAAGGGCTGGCAATGCTAGGTGGGAGCTGCAACAGCCTCACAGATCTGGCCTGGGAGGGGACAGGTAGCTCAGGCTGGCCACTGAGTTACACATGCAGCAGGCATAAGGTGAGGAATGGGTTCATAGAAAGGCTCCCATGGGAGGCCAATTGTGCTCCAGCCCAAGACAGGAGAAGCTAAAGGCAGCACTCACCAGTGATCTCTACAATGCCATCCTTGGTCTTCACCACCAGCTCCTCTGGGGCAAAATGGTTGACATCTAGGGTGACCTTCCAGCTCTCTGAGGTCTGCCGGATCTCCGAGATGCCACGGCTGAGCTGGCGGCTCAGGGCCTGACTGTAGTCAATGCTGCTGGCAGTGGGCGAGGTGATGATAGGGCTGGCAGCAGCGGCGACCATGGGTGCAGCAGCTTGGCTGGGCATGAAGCGGAAGTAGCCTGGCCAGCTGGTGCCACTGGGCCACTTGTACCAGTCCTCGGGGATGTGAGGCATCCCGAAGGACTGGTCAAAGAGGCGGCTGCCCTGGTACCAGTCCCGGAAGGGGTCCCAGCTGGGGCCGCGAAGGAAGGTGAAGGGCACTCGGCGCTCCGACATGTTGGGCTTCCTGCAGGTCCCACCTCAGCAGCCCGGCAAAGCGAGCTCTGTCTGTACGGAGCAGCTGCCTCCCGCCAGCCCCTTATGAAGAGGCAGCCAGTTATTTTTAGCCAAGAATTTCAGCTCACTATTAATGGAAATTACACCAGGGCCGTGTAACTGCTGATGAACATCAGTCAGGCCTGGACTCTGCCAACTTACTCCCAGTCTGTTTGTCATCTTACAGCTGCCCTCTGTCCAAAGGAGAGGGTGGGGGGAGCGGGACAGCTCCCCAGCCTGAGAGCAGCATCGATCACACCGCACAATGCAAGATGGGTCAGGAGCAGGGTGGGGCGATTCCTTCTGGAAGGGACGCTGGCACCCCCGTTGGTCTTGGCAGAGAATTTGCTGCTTCACTGTTGACAGAGCAAGCCAGGATGGATGTCTCTCTGCCTTCAGCTCTTTGTTCCTCTCAAATCTCAGGGACACCAAGTCTGATTTGGCAGCAGGAGGAATTGGATGTGTGCCATGAGCTTTCTCAGCCCTTCCTTCAGGGAAGAATGTTACATTTTTAACAAAGAAATCTTTTCTCCCCAGTGTTTCTCAGGGGTCTGAGTTAAATAAGGGGCTTAACAAAAGCAAAGCCCCCAAATTTTAGACTCTCAGAGCAGTAAAAACCCTTCCTAACCCTCTTAATTCAAATTTACAGATTCTCATAGTTTTAAAACTAGAAGCAACTATCTAGTTGCCTAGTCTGACCCTTTGTCGAATATCGACCACTCCATTTCACCAAGTGCCCCTGCACTGAGCCCCGGGTGTGTTACTTCGATGATATTTCTAATACCAGAAGCCAGCCATGTTTCCAGGCATTTCTTGCGCGTTCCAAGTGAAACAGGCTCGAGAAGACAAATGGAAAAAGATCAAATGAGCCTGAGCTTTCTCTGTGCATCCTGCAGACACAAAGAAGGGCACAGACCTCTTTTTTTCATTTCAGATCACCTTCAAAGATTCCCACAAAATAAAGCCTTTTAAAATAGAGAAAGGTATTTTTAAAAGCATTCACTGTTGTCCTAACTTTGCTCCAACTGATAAGAAGTGTAAGGCTCCAGCTGGCTTCAGTAATAGCTGGGCCAGTGCCGTGAGCCCATAAGCCACCCTTGCCCATCAGTCTAATGAGAGGAGCGATTTTCTCTCCCAGAATCCTCCGGTGTCACGTGGCCCAGCTCATGTTGTCCCAAATCCCCGCTTCTTAACTGTTCTCTCAGCATCTCTTACAGCATGCTTGGCCAAACTCCCCGGTGGTGTAAGCTGATGCCGTCCCATCGGAGCGGATGGAGCCGTGCCAGCCGAGGCCAGCGCAGGATTTGGCCGCGTGTCCCTGCCTGGAATCTTCTAGGTCCTGAGTCACACCGGGCTGCGGCGCTGCTCGTCTTCCAGCCTGCAGGCTCGAAAATCTTGGCAAGGTGGACGGAGGTAAGCTTCGCTTGCCAGCCTGGCTGGCTGTCCTATCACATCCTCTCAGTTCGCTCAGGAACTGAACGGGAAGGGCTGTCTGTCACAGATGTGTTCAAATGACCTGCATTTCACACCGAGCTAAGCAGCGGGTTCCCACCGTTTCCTACCCACTGCCGGGCGACCGACCCCTCTCAGAGGTGGTGCCTGGAGGGTTTTCCTGGCCGGATGAGTTGAGGTATGTGGTGGCCCTATGATCGAGTGATCAGGGAAGCCCCTGCAACCACCCCTCATGTGCACATCGTTCATATGTGCACATACCATCTTCTGTACCCGCTGCAGTCCAAGCCATCCCAGCCTAGGGAAGCTTTCCCTGCCTTTCAGTCTCAGTCCCCTATTAGTTACATGCCAACGCCATTACTCTGTGTTATAAACAGCTCTTCTCTCCTGGGTCTCTACACCTTCCAGAATGACCCTTCCCAGCAGATGGCCTGTTCTCCTTTAGCTGTTCTCAGTTAGCCCTTGGCAAGCAGGCCGCAGTCCCTCCGGCCTCTTGGCCCTTTTCCTAATTCTTCTCTGAACCCCCTTCCAACTTTCCCTATCTATGTTCATTAGGAGAGCTCACAGGGCCGCTGCTCAGATACACTTACCATGTCTGGACCACAGAGACATGAAAGGCTTTGGCCTTGAGGACACTCTTACAGCTGTCTGCCCAGACCCCAGAGGCAGCTTGGACGAGGCTCATGTTTACCCTTGAGGAACGCTAGGCAAGGTCGGTAGCTCTCTTTCTCCGGGATGAGCTTCTCCCAGCACCTCTAGCATGGCAGGCTAGACTATGCCTGATGGCGAAGGCACAGGCTTGGGAGTCTCCAGGCTCTGCCACAGCTGACTTTGGCCAAGTTACTTTATCTTGCTGTGCCAGCTCAAGGGCAACAGGCCACTGGTCTCAGCTGGTGCCTCAAAACTGCTGCAGCATACATGTAATGCAAAGGCACAGCTTGTTGGCCAATGGTTAAATGAGCAGGACTCTCCAGGGGCTGCTTGGCCTTTATCTGGCTTGAACAGAGTCTGTGATTTCACATTTTATATACAATCTGCAGAGGGTTCAAGGGGAACAAGTGACACGTGTGTGTTTGTGTGTCATGGTGAGAGACAGTGGCGATGCATAGGGGGTGGACACGCACCCCTGAGAGTGCCGGTGCACCCCCCTGCCCAGCCACGCTCGTTGCTTAGGCAATGGGCAGGTGGGAGCACTGGTGCCCCCCTGCAGGCACCGGCTGATTGCTGCAGCTGCTCCCAGAAGTGGCTCCAGCCCCGGTCGGCTGGACTGGTCACAGGGGGGGCATGTGCCCCTCCTGACTAAGGCGGCACCAGTCACCCATGGTGAGAGAAGGGCTTTGTTGAGGTACAAAGCAGCAGGACTGCCCGCAAGTGTCCTTGCTGCGCTCCCCCCTACTGTGTTGCAATTGGTCAGGTTGCATTTGAGCGGTGGTGGCTGTTTTTGTTCAGGCTGGAAAAAAACCTCTCTTTGGCAGCTGCTGTGCTGACAGCATGTGCCAGGGTAGGGGTCGCTGTGTTTGCAGATGGTGACGTCAGAAACTGCAGGTGCTCATAACCTAGCAAGCGGGCTGAGGTCAGGCAGTGCAGAGCGAAGGGGAGGAGGGTGAGCACGAGGGTTCAGTGGGTGGCTGAGGGAAGGGTGGGTGAGTCATGAGCACGTGGCTGGGCTGGGGGGTTGGATCGGCTGGTGGATAAGTGGCAGCAGAGGAGGGGGGGAAGTGGGTAGATAAGGCCAGGGCAGCTTGGGCCGTGGGTGGCTGGATGACGTTCGCCCTCCTGAAAGCCAGGAACAACAGTGAAGCACCATGTAGGTACTGGAGCAAGATGGGGTTACAGGACCCTTTCCTGGAGCTAAAGTGCACAGGGAAGGGTGGAGTCAGCCTTCAGGGGGGCTGTCAGGGCCCAGGGCTTGTTATACCCCATGATGGGCTGCCAGCCCTATTCCCCACCTTGCCAGTGCTTTTCTGCCAGTGTGGAGCTGTGCCCATGTGAGCTGCACACGGCCTTTTCCATCAACGGCATGATGTGCCAGCTGGTCCCCTTCTTCCCCAGCTTGTTGGTTTAGGCTCCACAGGCCGAGGTGCCCCTGCTATCCAGTGCCCCATCTGGCAGTGACTGTCCAGTGCACAGTTACTTGCCTTCACCCATCTTTGTGTCCTGGAGCTGATGCCCTTTCTCACATGGGAGACACTCGTTCAAAGTCAGAGCCCATCTGCTGCCCTGCAGCTGCTCGACATCCTGGGAGCCAGTGCTCAGCGCTGTGAAGGCAGGATGATTTATAACCCCAGGCCCCTGTGCAATTTCCAGCCACTCCTTCCTCCTTCCAACTGCGGCTCTGCCCATACTGCCCCAGCCCCTCCTTCCCTCTGCTTCCCACAGATTCAGCCCTGAAAGCTTCCTAGTCACCTGAGCCAGCAGCACAGGTTTGAGCTGGCCTGCCAGCCCAGCTGTGCTTGCAGTGGGCACCTGTGGCCTCTTTATGGGCACCCCGACAGACTCTTTCATGATGGGCTGGGGCAGCCACCTTGCACTTTGTCTTAGGTCTCTGAGGAGCCCTTCAGCCGGGCTCTGCAGGGTGTGTTGAGCCACAGCTGGATTAGACTTACTACCTTCCAGCCTGTGAAGGTGTCTATGGGCAGGGTGGGGACATTAATGGTCCCCAGGCTACAGGGGAGAGGCTGAGTGCCCCCATGGTCTGCTCTGTAGTCAGCTGCCATGTCCTCCCTGGCATCTGCGGAGGCCTCCTTTGGAGCAGCCCCTTTGGTGCCAGCTTACAGTCAGTCTGGGGGGCAAGTCCAGTCCCAGGTGCAGACTGGGGCATGAAGCCTATGGGTGTGGACAGGCAGGGCCCTCCCCAACCCTGCTGCCGCCAGACAGGCTCCTGCAATGTGTGTAGGGGCCTGATTTCCCACAATTTTTAGGCCAAGGCAAGGCAAGGGACCATTCTGGCTGGGCACCCCAGATGCAGACTGCTGCACTGGCTGGGGGCAGAGCCTGGAGAAGCCCACCAAGGGGGCTGTGGGTCCCGTGAGCTGACCCCTTCGGGGGGGTGGCTGAGGCGGGCCAGCAGAGCGATGGAGGGGAGCAGTTCTGTGGCTTTGCAGCTCCCCCACCATCCTCACCCTGCAAGAGCAGAGGCTGCCCACACAGCATCAGTGCATGGAGCTAGTATCCTCCTGCCCACACAGTGGCTGCCCCTGCATGGGCCAGTCTGAGCCCAGCCACCTGCAGCCATAGTTCCAGACTCATTAGCAAGTGCGGCATGTGGGCAGCTGTCTGCTCACAGCTAGCTCTGGGTTGCGGTAGTGGGGGCATGAGGGCAAGGCCAGAGCCTGTCTGGGGTGGCCGGCAGCCCTGCAAGGTGACAGTGAGGGCACGGCTAGGTCCCTTGTTGCTGTCTGGGCACTGCCAGGGCTGGAGGCGGGGCTGCGGGGGGGAAGCTAATATTGCTTTTTGCCTCAATCACAGGAGATTGACAGGGCCCATCTGCGGCGCCGCACGCTGCTCTTACAGCTGCAGTTATAATAGAGCGTGATGAGGAGGCTGGCCGTGGCAGGGGGGCAGTGGTCCTGGGAATGGGCCAGCGCCTTCCCGCCCCCGCACCTCCCAGCGGGGGAGTCTGTTCCCGGAACGCCGTGCCGCCTGCTGCGGGAACCTTCCAGCTGCTGCCAGCCAAGGCCTGACATCCTGCAGCCCAGCTTCCCCTGCTGGCGAGGCGCTGGTACGCACCCAGCTGCTTCCCACCAGCCCCGGGGACCTGCTGCTCCATCCCCTGGCTGCTGGGCCAGGTCCCTTCTCAGCCTCAGTGCTGAGGGGCGTAGCGTCTGGTTACGGGGAGCACCTGTGATCAGTCTCCCCTTCATGGTACCTCCGCAGCACAAGTCCAGCCTTTGGAAACATCCTGTCTCATGGGCAGCCCAGAGATCTGCGTGCTGGGTTCCCCGCTGTCTCATGCCTTCCCCCAGGCGAGAGGTGAAGGAGGCAGTGACTCAACTAGAGGATGCAGAGGTTTTCTTGCAATGGTGGCCCTGGGTCCCCCCCATCCATCGCTGTCCCACTGCATGGATGTCAGGCATCAAGGGCTAGCTGGGGACCTAGGCCAGCCCCCTGAAGTGCCCTGGGTTTCTTCTAATAGGGTTTTATTTTGGTTCTTTTCTGAGGCCCCCTCATGGTTTTGGAGGGAATGGGTGACAAAGAGCCAAGGCTTGAGGCGTTTTCTTGGGTTCATGCCCATGGGCATTGGAGCAAGGCTGCGAGAACTCAGCGGACCGTGGTGCCAGCCGCTGTAGTGGTGGGGCCAGCCCTGCTGCCCTATTTCCTCTGTCCCAGGCATGATCTGTTCCCCACATCATGGGGATGGGCACCGGTTCTTTGGGCAGGGATCGTGGCTTTACCCCAGGACCTGGCCCCGTGCTGTCACTGCTTCTCTACACTGAAACCTTCCAACAGGAGAGGCCTTTGAGCAGGACTGAGCAATAGCAGCTTCTGTGATGCCCCTGGGAGCCCAAGGTTGCTCTGTCCTAGAACCAGTGGCGATGCAGACAGGGTGCACGGGGGTAGATGTGCACCCCCTGAGAGTGCTGTTGCCCCCTCGGTAGACCGCATTCCCTGCTTAGGCGATGGGCGGGGGGGAAAGACTTCTCGGTTGGCAAGATTGGCTGTGGGGGGACCCCCCCCAGTCGCTAGGGGGCATGTGCCCCCCCCCCCGACTAAGGTGGCACCAGCTGCCCATACCTAGAACCCCAGTAGACACCAGCTGCCTGAAGGGGCAGGGTGAGAGCAAGGCCATAGCCCCCTCCCCTGCTTGCTGCTACACACGTTGGTCCAGGCCTTCCTCAAGAGGCCCCGGGTGTTGGCTGGAGCCAAGGTTTAGGATTGTGAATGGGATATGCCAATGCTCCTGCTAAGACGAAAGGGTCTTTCCCTTCCACTCAGGGTCTGACTGATCATCATATTTGGGG